ACATTTTAAGATTTTATTTTAAATAAGATTTTATTTTAAATTTTAGAATGGAAAATGCAAAAGCTACTAGAGAAGCAAAATTATAGTTTGTTTTAATAAGAAGCTGCTAGTTTCTTCGAGCTTTTTGCTGCAAATATCAGGGCACTGTTTTTAACAGGACATAAGTAGACTATATAATAGAGCAGGCTATGAAAGGTAAGGTCAGAGGCTGTCCTCATGCCAGCATCTCCTCCCATGCAGCTGAGTGCTCCCCCACTGTGTCGACAATTCACCAAATGAGATAAGCAGACACAAATGAGTCCCTATAGAAGCCTCTCTGTACTTAAGTTTTCATTTTGTCAGCAGATATGTCAACAGACAGTCCCCATCGCCTCCCACAGACCTGAGTGCAGGGGAGGATCACCACTTCTATTTCCCTTTATTCAGAAGACACGAGGCTGAGGAGTGATCACGTACTGAGATCAGAGTTCACAGTTAAGTACCTGTTTAAGAAGTTACTGGTGGAGAGCGAACTCTAAGTTAGATTGTGTGTTTGTTTTTTTAAGGCATAACCTATTTAGCTACAGAAGGTTTTGGGACCTGATAGGGATAAACTGTACTGTAATTAAATATTTCTAGATAATACGGACTTTCAATTCACATGAAATCCTCTAGGTCAAAGGTATAGCTATGTTATTTGGTGGATAAGAAGAAAGGAAGTCAAACAGGAATGGCAGCAGCTAAAGGTGACTGTAGAAGGGAGAGGTGCATATAACTGACTGTAACTTACAGCCAGGAACAATTAGTCAGCTTGTTAACAAAGGAACCTGATGAGATTGCTCAAGCAAGTTCATGAGGGTATCATTTTCTTAGTGAGAGTTGGTTTAAGATAAAAAGTCTCAAGGAAGTAACACTCAAGTTATTTTTGTTAACTCAACCATTCAGGATATGACCAAAATTGCCTTTTTACTGGATCTTCACATCAGTTTCNCCCCAAAACCCAATTTTTTAAGCTTTGCCTTCATTTCCATGGGCTTCTAGAATCCTTATCCTTCTAGTTCCATTTTTATTTAAATGAGAGCCATCTTCTTTGCTTGCAACCAAAAACACCCCACTATGAAAAATGCAGTACAGATGGCCCATAAGACACTCTGCAGGGACAGAGATACGCTGAATAACACAGAATAAAATCCAGGTTTTTCAGCAAGACGTGATGAAGTATGTGCTGATGCTGACGATAATGGTGACTATGACCGAGTGGTTACTGCTTATGAGCCGTTTGCTTTCCATATATTAACTCATTCAATCCTTAAATAATCCTATCTGGCAAGTATTGTTATTCCCGTTTTACAGATGGCAAAACAGGCTCGGAAAGGGGAAGTAACCAACAGCAGGTCATAGAGCTAGTAAGTACAAGTATTAGGATTTAAACATAGGACTCTCCTACTCCAAAGCCCATGTTTTTAACCACTCAGCTGTATTGTCTCCAGATACTGATAGCTACTAGATAATGGGGCTTCTAAGAAGAATATGTCCACGCCTTTTTATTTTGACAGATATGAATTATCTGAAAAAGTACATTGGAAATGAACATTGGCCAGCTCGCCACATGTTTAATTAAGAAATAAATGCCTTGCAAAAATGAATAGGCACTTTGTCATTGACATCTATAATTAAAATGCAAAGTACAATTTTTTTCAATCAGTAAACACTGCTTATTTATCATTTTTTGACAGCATTGTTCGCTTTCAGTAAGCCTAGTTAACCTCCTAAGATTGGTTACCACTGATGTAATCACAAAAAGACAGCCCCTGTTGCATAAAATTGGTACCTTCACATTGAAATGACCACTTAACTGTGATGGAGAAAGCAAAACACAAAAGCTGTGAAGAAAAGTGTCTTAGAAGACATGAAAGCTCCCAGTGCAAAGGCCGGTCAGCTGGCATAACTTGGTGCTATAATCACAGACTCTAACCTCATAAATTCAGAGGCAGGCTCCCAGAGACCTCTCACTTTTCAAATGTTACAAAACCAAAGCCCGACTGGTTCAAATCACCCTGAACTCACCTCCTGGGCCCCCTCAGCGTCTGAAGAGAGGCTGGCTTCATGTTTGGATACGATGACAGCAAGGCCGCTTAAGGCCAACAGCGCATTGCCTTTGACCACTGGGCTGTCCCTGTTGAAAAAGAAAACAATTCCAAGAGAGGATTTGGGGGTGCTATTATAGGGAGGGCAGATGAGGTCACAAAGCCCTTCCATTCCTTCAGAGCCTCGTAAACACAGGTCTATTTGATCCCTGATGCCAGCAGCTTCTCTCCTCCTCTGACACTACTGCTCACCTTTAACTCTTCTTATAGATGTGTAGTCATTATGCTTTTTTGTAACTTAAAAAACCCAATCTCACATATCTACGTTCTTTCTTCCTAAAATGTTCATTTCATCATTTGACATTACATTTCCTAAGCTATCTTCTGTGTCATCTTTGGCCAATATACACTTATCGATGTATTCTGAAAACACAACCAAGGGCAGTTATGCGAATTAGCCCAGCAGAATGGAAAGCCTCTGACTTTCCTACAGCATCGGTGTGTGTGGAACCAGCTTCTAGCGAACCACTTCACACAGCATATTTTACTAGCAACTTGACACACTGGCAGCTTTCCTCAGCCATTATTATCCTCCCCTTCTTCCTCTTAATACGTCAAAGCCAGCAACCTTAAAGTCAGTTTGTAATATAATTTAGAGACCATAGATAAGATGCCAAAAAGGACCTGTTCGTAGACTATCTGGATGGAGAGTTGCCCTTTTATATCATCCAAATGGTAGTTTTCTAATATTTGCAATAAAATCTTAAATTTGACTTCTGAATTTAGCAGCAAGAAAACTGAACCTTTTAAATATACTGAGCACTTGAAAATGCACATTTAGCATTATTCCACAATTCCTAGGTTGTCCTGTAGAATAAAATGCCAACTGGGACACTGATGAGATGCTTTGGCTTGCCAACTCTGTCATAACAGGACTTGGGCAACAGGGCACCCATGCTATCAGACAGCTCAGTTCTCAGTTAGTCCTACGATTGTGGGTTCCCATAAATATAGAGAATGTTTCCCAAACCCTGGACTTGAGACCTGAACTTGAATCAGTGTATATATCCAAGAACTACTCTCTGCTCACCCCAGTGCTGGAATACAATGGATGTGTTGGATGAGGAAGACTTCCAGCTGTGCACCCTGTGTGAAGCTAGTACCTCCAGCCCCAGACCCAGAGTCAAGACTGCACAGGAGTTAGTGGGTATGAAAAAGTTAGTATACGCATGTGTTCGTGCATTTTTGTTTCCATCTGGTAAGAATAGGACTTAGGAAGTGCCCTCATCAAGTTCTTATATCTATCTCTTCACCTATTTCCTCCTTCCTCCTTTCTCTTCTACCTTGGGGTAGTTAAGCTCAGTGCAGACTTGCTCTGCACACTCGGTCATTTTGTTTACCCTTCCCTAATTCGTTCCTCTATGGGACCTGCCTTAAGTTGCTAAAACAACGGCATTTATATTGGGGGCTAGTTTGGGGGAGAAAACAGGAAGGAAGACTTGTGGTGTGAGCAGATGGCTTCATCCGAGGTTTTGCTAGAGTTTTGTAGTGAGGATTATTTGGAAACTCATGCTAACAATAAAATGCCAAGAAGCGCGGCAAGATCTGGGCATTCCTAGGTGCCCTAGCCATAAAATCATTTAACAAAACCAAAATTAAATCTTCTATTTCTATTATCTCTTTCCTTTAGCTGAGACCATCCTGAAGCCTGTCCTGCTACAAAATGGTCATGAGTTCCTAAAGTTACATAAAAAATAGTTTTACATTCTCAGTGATCTGAGAATTAGAAGCCCCCGTTTTTATTACCCTGTAGAAAAATTTAGACGGTCACCAGAAATGAGATATCAAATTTTTTAAAACAAGAATATTAGATAAGATGACACAAAAAGTATCTTTTTAACCCTGAAATTCTGGAAGAGAATTTAGCCTCAGTTTTAAACAGTGCCCAAAACGATTTTGTTTCAAAAGTTTCACTGGCCTTGACATTCCCAGGGATGTATTGTTCTTGTAAAATAGAGAAAAATATATTTAAAGCCATTGGTAATTAGAGTTTTGGTTGCAGACTAAATGCATATTTGGACATTAATCTTTGAATAGGAAAAAACTAGTCCACAGTCCACTCAATGCATGCTTAGGCCAAGCCATACATTTCATGAAGGTACTGTGACTGGCTCTTGATCACTTATGTATTCCCTCCATGCCTAGCAAGTGACTTATGGAGAGAAGACAACACATACATAGTGAAACAAATTCCAGGAGGAGTGGGCCAGGTGAAAATCTACAACCAGTTCAGCTAAAGCTCATCACCTCATGATCAAATAACTATTCCCTACCAGTGAAGCAATAGTAACTAATTTGCATAATAACATGTCAGCATCAGTACAGTATTTATCTGGGCAATGCCACTGACATTTTAATTAAATTGTCCTTTGAAACAAACTGATGCCATTAACCTAATTAAAAAGCGCAAGGAAGGATGAGCACAATGATGCTTTCTTAGGGACAAAGTATTACATTTTATGTTAGTAAAGTGACCCAATCCCTTGGGGATTTTTATCTTCAGGTTCAAATCTATTTAATTAATAACAATGAAAATAAATGTACATCAATCATCAGGTTTTATCTGTGTTATGATTCTTCCTTAGCCCTGGCCCTGATGCTTTAAAAATGCTCTCAAATGAGCAAATCAGTCTAATCCTGTGACTGGTGTTTTACTTCTTGCATTTAACTCATGGCTCAGAACAAAACAAGTCTTACACGGGCCCAAACCAGCCTGAGGCAGCCATGGTCCAAGGAACTGAAGGTTAAGCTGGAAGGAAGTGGTGGTGGCGTCCTCACATGGTTGGAGGAAGTCAATGGGGAAAAGTAAAGAGAGGGTGATTTTCCCGCTGATCTATCATTAATCTCTTTGTCTCTGAACCTTAAGTATTTCCTATTCACTTGCTGTCAGGTTAGTATTGTCAGGATTGCTTTAATAAGAGAAGGCCTCTAAAATACTTTAAAATTTCTAATGAAAAGGTAACACCATGAGAACATGAATTCTTTTTACTCTGTACTACTGAGAATGGGAACACACTCTTCTTAGGTATTAGCAATGAAACAATCTTTTACAAAGCTGAAGATTTAAAACAAACATTTTAAGATTTTACTTTAAATA